AAAAAGTAAATCAGAGCTAAAAAAGTGCAAAAATGCAGGCAAATTTGCCTGCATTGGTCTACATATTAAGGGATAGCATACTTTCAAACCAAATCTAAAGCAAACTCAAAGTCATATTTAAGCACAATTCAGATTTGAGTATTGTGAGTTTGGGTTTGATTTGGGTTTAAAAAATTATCAAAATTTCAAGGTTGGTTTGGGATTGAGTCCAGGATTGACAGAACTCAAACCAAACCCAAATCAAACTTTGGAGCTCTAGGATCAACAGTTACACTATACAAGCATTATCATTACACATACAAATTTTTAGTATATAGATATAAATTTTAATTAAATTTTTTTGATATTATTTTAATTGTTATTTTTTTTTTAAAAAAAAATTTAAAATTTTGATTGACTAATTAGCAGGTGACAATTATTCAATATTTGTATAACTGTTGTCTATATTTGGGATGTTCTTATCTATAGTTTTTGAAAGTTTTTGACTAAATATGATTCACCATATTTCAAATTTCTATATGTAAATATTTATAATTATTACTATACAAAATATTTCAAAATTAGTAAAGTATAAACTTTTGAAATTATTATATCTACATAATACTCCGAAGTGATCATAAGTTTTTTATAATATTACACTTGTATAAAAACTTACAGAGGTTTACATATGGGCTGCTGTCAATAGAAATAAGGCAGATTGACATTTTAAAAAAAATTAATACCTTAACTTTCACAGCTCATATCTCGATGAATTTTGAAGCTATCTTGATGATTTAATATTTAAAAGAAAGCTTAGACCGTAAGCTTTCTTTGTCTATTAAATAATTAAGATAGTCTCAAACTCCATCGAGATATGAGCTGTGAAAGTTAAGGTATTAATATTTTTTAAAATGTCAATCTGCCTTATTTCTATTGACGGCAGCCCATATGATCACGTTCTAAGAAATTAACATGTATGTAAGTACCTGCTCGCGACTTTGGTTGAACATTCGCTCTCCAAAATTCCTCTTTAATAAAGATCATATTCTTTTTATAATAAATGCCTAATAAAATCAAATCTCCGACCCATATCCAAGTTCATGTGAGCTTCTAACGTCAACAATCAGAGTTAAACTCGGCATGACAGTGTCAAGTTCTCCCTTACGATGGTTACACTATAATTATATATTTAATATGATAATGCCTCTGGTTAAAACCGATATCTGATATCGGATAATTTTAGAGTGTGTCGATATAACTAGTGACATGTATAAGGGTTTATTTGCCTAAAACAAATATATTAATATTTTAATTCAGAAACAAGGGTGTAATAATATCTGTTGCTTAAATTTTTTAAATTTTTGCAAACCATTTAACAAGCATTACTATCAAAATTTGTTTATTTTTGAACAATGAATAATGTGGTTTCTGAACTCAATTCATCAAAAGTCCACCTATAAAATATAGTTTCATTTTAAACACAATTAAGTTCTAAACTTTGTATTGTTTTAAATCATACAGAAAATTACTATTTTACAAATATATATAATAAAAAAAGTTTGCAAAGCATCTTTCAAACCATATGTATATAAATTTATAATAAACAAATTATGAAAGAAAAACTTATTGAAAAATAGTCTCTTCGTGTTTTCGCTTAGATACATAAGTTCCAGGCTTGGCCATCGCGTTAGGATGAGACGCTAATTCAGGAGGCACACGAGATATTGGTGATTTCAACATCATTTGTTTCAAATCATACCTATATATAATAATAGATACATTAAACTGAAATACACATTTTTTCAAGCAGAACGTATGTGAATAATCAACTTACATGACATCTGCATCTGCGTTAGATAAGAATGTAATGGCGACACCAGATTTGCCAGCACGCCCAGTACGACCAATACGATGTGTATAATCTATAAAATTTATAAATAATGTGGCTTCATTAATATTTCTAGAAGAAAATCTTACAGTGATATATGATAGCGATATATGATAATACCTTCAATAGTTTTTGCCATATCATAATTAATAACTAACGAAACATTCTTAACGTCTATACCACGGCCAGCAACATCCGTAGCCACTAAATATACAACAATGAAATTAAGGTTGAGTATCGACATGTATTTTTCTAAACACGGGAACAAGATTAATCAAATTAACTAACGCACCAAGAATGTCCATAGTGCCGTTCTTAAGATGTGCCAAAGCACTCTCTCTAGAGAATTAAAATCATAGTTAATTACTGTAATACAAATTCAAAGAAATCATCCAATCGAGATTTACCTTTGTTCCTGAGTCTTACCACCATGAAGGGTTGTTGCACGATACTACGGTTTTATTTGAATATTAATAAATATTGTAATAGATATACAATGCAAAATTTATAAAACCTACCCCAAGTTTATTCAATGCTCGAGCTAGAACATCACATCCTTTTTTCTGGTTAACGAATATGATTATTGGCGGATCGAAAGATCCTTGAAGAAGCTCTAACAAGCGTGCCCTGAAATTGAACAACGAAATAGA